AAAATTATACATATATAAGTACAAAAATATACAAATATATACATATATATAATAAAAATTATACGTACGAAAATATAAAAAATTATACATAAATATAAAAAATTATAAATACAAAAATATAGAAATATAAATAGTAAAAATTATGCATATAGAGATATAGAAATATGCAAATGTACATAATAAAAATTATACATATACAGATATACAAATATACTAATATATGTAATAAAAATTACGCGTATACAAATATATAAATATACATAATAAAAATCAAGAAGATAATTACCCGCAAAAATATGTAATTTAGAAATATTAAGTTATACTGAAAGAAACTTGATCGTATATGTATATATACATATATTACACTGTATAGATATACATTGTTAGAGTAATAAAAGAAAAGGCGTTCGACAATTGACATTTATACCGCGAGAAAAATATTTCACGCGCTTCTTGTACTCGTTACAGTGGTACAGAATAGACAGAGCGAAAATCCGGGAGGATTTGCTCCGTTTATGGATTCCCCTTGGAGCTGGCTCCCACCGCGATCAACCAGACAAAACTGCCGAAATCTTCCTAATGAAATCCGTCGAGAGGTCGGACTCTTTACCATTGCAAGCATGGCATTCCTTGGCAAAATCTGCTTTATCCTGGTTCATCAGTCGCACTTCCATAAATGGGTGAGTGGTTATAAACTGCCAAGCATTCTAACACTAGCACCGACCTGTAATGTAATGTCCTATCACAGATGATAACAATCGAAGTGTCATGATAGAAATTAGTATGATTCCATGACAGAATATGTAATACAGTCTTTGTAGCAGATTCTAAGAAGCTTAGAAATTTTTGCTTGAGACCATTTTTTTTTTAATTATTGGGAATGTAATTATTGTTTATTTTTATCAAATTCTTTTCTTTTTTTTTTTGCAATTTCTAGCAGATTGTAAAAAACTGGTAAATTTTTGTTGGAGACAATTTTTTTTTTTTAATTATTTGAAGTGTAATCATGCTTATACCGTATTTTAATAAGAATCGGGTCTTATTGTTAATTGTTATTAAAACTAGCTGCAAGATTTTTTTTTTTTAATTTGTAGCAGATTGTAAAAAAATTGGTAAATTTTTGCTTAAAACAATTTTTTTTTTTTTTAATTATTGGGAATGTAATCATGTTTATACTACATTTGAATAAAAATAGAATTTTATTGTTAATTTTTATTAAAAACAACTGCAAGATTTTTGTTATAATTTATAGCAGATTGTAATAAACTGATAAACTTTGCTTGAGACAATTTTTTTTTTAATTATTGGAAGTGTTTATCATGTTTATAAAATATCTGAATAAGAATCGAGTTTTATTGTTAATTTTTATTAAAAACAGCTACAAGATTTTGGAAATAATCATTTTGATTAATTTGCTGATTCTAGTATCAATTTTTAAACAATAGTATTTGCATGATTGTTTTCCTTTATTGCCCAGTATTATTTGTTTATATGATAATACTGATAAATTATCACAACAGAGCTACCAGAATGACCGATTTTGAATTACTTTTGTCATCTTTATAGGAATACGAAGTTACTTTTCTAAATTTGATATTAACTACTATTAAGATAGAAACATAACTATACAAGGTAATCCAGGTTACTCTATGAAAACCTTATCAGAGTGTCTTGTGGCTAGAAATAAGTTTAAAATATCACGAACACACGAATTTGTTAATTTTAACAAAATAACTGTACTAATTATGAATTTTGAATAAGACATTAAGAAAATATGAATTTTTTATTACACGGCATTTTTTACTTATTTCTCATTATAAAACTCATTGACAAAGTTCGTACAGAAAATTTGAGACACCTTATTTATTTATTCATTTTCATCTTACCACTTTATTTATTATTATTTATTTTAAATTATATTTAGGTAAAAATTGGTAGTTCTAGTATTTATTAATAAATATCTAACCTACTTTCGTTAATTTTCTTTGTTTGCAGGCTATGAATTATTAATTTATAAATTATAAAAGAGATTTATTTTAAATTAATATAGGGTATATAATAATTTAAAAATATAAAAATAAAATAAATAGAAGAATGGGACATATAAAAATTAGAAAGAAAAAGATTAATTATAACGAATTAATTTATACGTCATTTTGCACCTAATTATTCATAAATATTTCACGAATACATTGTCTCGAATATTATCTTTGTACTTTTTTTGGATTTTCCAGTTTGATTTATCATGTTCTCGTTTCGAGATAAGATATCACAGGTAATTCTTACCAAGAATGATGTATTTTTCAAGATAAAAATTTAATCGATATACAAAACTGCATATATTATAATACCAACTAATAACAATATTGATAAAACATGTTTAATCTAAAATAATTTATGAAACTTGCACTGTATACTGTTTTAAGTTTAATAATATTTAATTTAATTTCATAACAAATTCTTATTGCATATCTACTATTACGTTACATATTTATTAACCCTTTGCACTCCGAATTATTTTTCAATTTTGTTGTCAACAATTCCCTACTATTTTAAGTATTCTGTTTGACATGTACTTCACAGGAATGTTCCTCGACTGCTACTTATTTTAAAGAATTTTGTTTACTGAATATATTAAATATAGCTCTCAAACATTATTGTAATTTTGAATTTAATATATAAACTGAAAATAAAATAAAATATATTTATATAAATTATATTTATATTTATATAAACTATACAATAAAATAATAATAATAACAATAGATATAGAAATAATAATAATATATCGAACCTACAATGTGTGCCTAAATATAGTATACTATATAAATATATAGTATAATATGATATAACAAATATAGTATGCATAAATAATTGCAATTATATAAAACAAGTGTACACAAGTATATAGATTTAATTTTACATTTAATTTTCAATATTAATCCTACCAGTGATGCCAATATATTTTTGCTAATCGCAAAAGCAAAATATCTAAAATTAGTGATTTTAATGAATTTGCTAGATCTATAGGTAAAAATCCAAAGTAGTAGATCAGCACAGTCTCCATCAAGCATTAAATAATATTAATAATAATAGATATAGAAATAATAATAATATATCGAACCTACAATGCGTACCTAAATATAGTATAAATATTTTGTACTATATTATATAGTATAATATAGTATAATAAATATAATACGTATAAATAATTGCAATTACATAAAACAAGTGTACACAAGTATATAGATATACATAATTACGTTTGTATTTCATTTAATTTTCAATATTAATCCCACCAGTAGCGCCAATATATTTTTGCTAGATCTATAAGTAAAAATCCAAAATAGTAGACCAGCACAGTCTTCATCGTGCATTCGATATTTTTCTAAATATAACTCATTTTTCCAATACAGTTCTGTAATATTGTATCAATAAAATAATAATAATAACAATAGATATAGAAATAATAATAATATATCGAACCTACAATGTGTGCCTAAATATAGTATACTATATAAATATATAGTATAATATGATATAACAAATATAGTATGCATAAATAATTGCAATTATATAAAACAAGTGTACACAAGTATATAGATTTAATTTTACATTTAATTTTCAATATTAATCCTACCAGTGATGCCAATATATTTTTGCTAATCGCAAAAGCAAAATATCTAAAATTAGTGATTTTAATGAATTTGCTAGATCTATAGGTAAAAATCCAAAGTAGTAGATCAGCACAGTCTCCATCAAGCATTAAATAATATTAATAATAATAGATATAGAAATAATAATAATATATCGAACCTACAATGCGTACCTAAATATAGTATAAATATTTTGTACTATATTATATAGTATAATATAGTATAATAAATATAATACGTATAAATAATTGCAATTACATAAAACAAGTGTACACAAGTATATAGATATACATAATTACGTTTGTATTTCATTTAATTTTCAATATTAATCCCACCAGTAGCGCCAATATATTTTTGCTAGATCTATAAGTAAAAATCCAAAATAGTAGACCAGCACAGTCTTCATCGTGCATTCGATATTTTTCTAAATATAACTCATTTTTCCAATACAGTTCTGTAATATTGTATCAATAAAATAATAATAATAACAATAGATATAGAAATAATAATAATATATCGAACCTACAATGTGTGCCTAAATATAGTATACTATATAAATATATAGTATAATATGATATAACAAATATAGTATGCATAAATAATTGCAATTATATAAAACAAGTGTACACAAGTATATAGATTTAATTTTACATTTAATTTTCAATATTAATCCTACCAGTGATGCCAATATATTTTTGCTAATCGCAAAAGCAAAATATCTAAAATTAGTGATTTTAATGAATTTGCTAGATCTATAGGTAAAAATCCAAAGTAGTAGATCAGCACAGTCTCCATCAAGCATTAAATAATATTAATAATAATAGATATAGAAATAATAATAATATATCGAACCTACAATGCGTACCTAAATATAGTATAAATATTTTGTACTATATTATATAGTATAATATAGTATAATAAATATAATACGTATAAATAATTGCAATTACATAAAACAAGTGTACACAAGTATATAGATATACATAATTACGTTTGTATTTCATTTAATTTTCAATATTAATCCCACCAGTAGCGCCAATATATTTTTGCTAGATCTATAAGTAAAAATCCAAAATAGTAGACCAGCACAGTCTTCATCGTGCATTCGATATTTTTCTAAATATAACTCATTTTTCCAATACAGTTCTGTAATATTGTATCAATAAAATAATAATAATAACAATAGATATAGAAATAATAATAATATATCGAACCTACAATGTGTGCCTAAATATAGTATACTATATAAATATATAGTATAATATGATATAACAAATATAGTATGCATAAATAATTGCAATTATATAAAACAAGTGTACACAAGTATATAGATTTAATTTTACATTTAATTTTCAATATTAATCCTACCAGTGATGCCAATATATTTTTGCTAATCGCAAAAGCAAAATATCTAAAATTAGTGATTTTAATGAATTTGCTAGATCTATAGGTAAAAATCCAAAGTAGTAGATCAGCACAGTCTCCATCAAGCATTAAATAATATTAATAATAATAGATATAGAAATAATAATAATATATTGAACCTACAATGTGTGCCTAAATATAGTGCACATAAATAATCGTAATTCTATAAAATAAGTGTACACAAGTATATAGATATACATAATTACGTTTGTCTCATTTCATTTTTAATATTAATCCTACTAGAGGCACCAATATATTTTTACTTACTATAGAAGCAAAATATCTGAAATTAGTCATTTTAATGAATTTGGTAGATCTATAGATAATAATATAAATTAGTAAAACGCAGAAGAAGAATACCTGGAATTAATCATTGTAATGAATTTGCTAGATCTATAGGTAAAAATCCAAAGTAATAGATCAGCACAGTCTTCATCAAGCATCCGATATTTTTCTAAATATATGACGTGTTTCCAATATTTTTCTGTAATATTATATTGGTAAAATAATATTATTAACAGATATTAACAGATATTAACTAGATATAGAAATAATAATAACACATTGAACCTACAATGTGTCCCTAAATATAGTATATA